CCATACATCCATACATCCATACATCCATACATCCATACATCCATACAACCATACATCCATACATCCATACATCCATACATCCATACATCCATACATCCATACATCTCTCTCGACTTTTAAGTGAACAGGACAAACGTATATTCTTTAGTATTGCTCACCACATAATAATTATTCCATTCATTGGATAGATCACATTGTTCTCTGAGTTTATCTTTGATGCATTAAATTGTAAAGAATAATAACAATTAAACAGGATTTGTTTTCAACTCACATCCTTGCTCAACAACAAGCAGCCTATGCGCTGTCAATTCTGTGTTATCACTTTCATGACCCCAACAGACCCTACATGGCTCAGAAACTTTTACTGTCACAGTCAGCAATTCTACACAAACCAGACATTCATTATGTATACTATAATACATTTCATATCATAGTCCAATTGTATATCAAGATAGTAGAAAAAGTTTGAGGACTCTAGAGTCTATTGTTACCTATGACGTACTTTTTGGTGTATGTGTTTGCCCTACCAGAAGTCTGTTGTCATTACCATCAGTGTTGTTGGAACTGTACATTACATGTGTCTACCTTTGCTGCTAACGGGAACTATGTTTAAAGACTCAAACCATCATATCTGTGAAAGAATCCAGGCTGAATAATGTATAACATAATGTTTAATACATGTATTATGAATCAGAGCTTACATATTATTTATTTCTTGAAAAGTGTCATTTAATATCTTATATCATAGAAAGTGTTTTGCTTTTCAGTGTGCCAAAGTTTCATAATATAACGATCATGCTTTCTGATATACCGCAAATATTCAATATGTGCCCCTTAATGTTTGATTGTTAAATGTCATGTTCCAACCACTCTTTTCAATCCATTTCCCGAAGACAAATTAAGATACAACAAGATAGTAGGCATAGGGGCACAGGTGTGGATCTTATAAATCATGAAAAGTGTTTATTTTTAATACTGCTGATGTTAGCAAAGGTATGAGCTCTGTATCTCTCCACAGTTTCGGGGAAAATGTGCAAAAGTATGAACCCTATTTAGGCTCCTGGTCTAGAATCTGACGTAATTATAGTAGTTGGTGCAGACGGTGTGAATGCAGAATAATAATTGACCCATTTTGTCTTTGCCGCCATGTTCGGACTTGTTAAAATTGCCACAAAATGGACTTGGAATTAACACTTCATGATATGCATCCATTTCTGTAATCAGTATTATTTGAATTTTTAAAATGTAAGACAAGGAACTTGAGGGATGGATAGGTTATGATTACACATTCCCTGTTTTCTCATTATTCTGCTTTCTCATTTGCTGTTATCAACTATCATTCGAGCGTTTTGAATCATTGTTGTTTTCAAACGTTGACACACACACACACACAC